TTTAGTGCTGATTATTTTTTCTATCCAGTTACTTTGGTTTTCCACAGAATATTTCTATCTTTCAATTCGGTCAAAAGTTCCGACTGATTAATTGTAATAGAATAGAGTATTGTACTTTTATACGATAAATTACAGCTCCATTCTTGACAATGTTTTAAAAAAAAATGGAATGTAGAATCAATTTTGGGCTCGCAATTGTCATTTTTTGGAGTTAGACTCAAATTGTCGCTGGTTAATTACTGTACAAATGTGTTTGTGGGACATGAGGGTATTCCTTGCCTTGTTTTGATTGGTCAGTTGTTAAGTTTGATTGACACACTACTATAAAGCATTTGTAGTTGAGAAAATGTAATGTTGACATCAAGATTTGTACCAAGATCCTAATTACCATTTAGGTTGTCTGTATGGGACGATGTAATCCCTTGGATTTTGTCAGCTAAAATGAGCTAAAATACTACCCTTAGCTCATTTAAAAATGCATTATAAATACAGATTTCATAGGTTCAGCATTTTTTGGCCAACTGTAGGCATTTTTGGAAGATTTCATTTCTCTATTTGGTGATTACGTGTGGGCACTGAGTAGTCCTCTTACCTATTTTGAGTGTGTCACTGTCTTTTCAGGGCACGGTATGGAAGCTGTTGAAATAAACTAAAGGTGAAAGGTATCAGAGCCCAACATGGAACCCAGGCTGTCCCAGGAATTCCCAAACGAGGGGTCCAAGCTCCCCGACAAAGGGGTCCACAGCCGAATGTAAGGACCAAGTCGTCAGGGAAACCTATGCCATCACCCCCCCCACCACTACCCGTCGGGGAAAAATTATTTTGTGTTAATTATGGGATTCTTTATTTAAAAAGCATAATTTGATAGAAAACCATGCAAGTTAAGAGTCCCCTGTCAGGGGTACTAACCCCCTGTCGGAGGTACCAGCCCCCTGTCTATGAAGAGCTGGCACTACGACTGCAACCTATGTGATCGTAATAGTATATACAACACCTCGCACATAAGGGAGCACTTCTCGCACTAACCAGTTTTTTCTCTAAAATTTGACAACTTACTAAGGCGTGCCTGAATTGTACTTTCAGCGCTCAAGATTTGATCTTTCCCCGACGACCTTGCTGGAAATTTCCCAACAGGGGGTCCAAGCGAGGGGTCAGGGGTCAACGACGGGAGGTCCTTTGCCCTCCTGGACCCCTGCTAGCACCACCCCTGATGGAACCACATGAAGTGCCAGACACGGAAACAGGATAGTCCCGAACTGTTCTGTACTTGCCTTTGATTCTCAAATTAAATAAAATAAAAATGTTCATTACTGCAGGTTAAGCATTTAATTGGACTGTTGTGTCTACATGCCTTGAGCATCTTGATGTGTACTGGCACAAAACAATTTTTATTTATTATAATATTCAAAGCATTTTTAGAAAATCTAATATTAATAATGTTAAATTTGGTATAGAGTAAATCATTCTTTAGAGAAAGTATATTAATATCTGACGAGTAGAATTTAATAATTTTTCTCTGAAAAGAATCATCAGTTTATTTCATCCAAGTGTAAGCAAAACTAATTGCAATATCCATTGCAGTTTTAATGAACATATGATTAGCGGACAAACCTTAGCCATCATACGCTGTTAAAGCATTGTTTAATTAATGTCGAAATATTGAATCCCAACACGATGGCATGCATTTCGATACTTGGATAATGTATTATACTATCTTATCTGAAATTAATCAATGGACATTTCGGTTTATATACCTATGTGGTAGATGTTTTACTCGCCACCCCCACCCCTAAAATAAAACAAAAAACAAAAAAAACTTAAAACTCTTAAACCAAAGGTTGTTAATTGCCACCAGTGTCCCCTGAATTAGTTATCGTAATGTTCTCAAAGTGACCATCAAAAATTTGGACACAAAGTTTAATTCGAAAATGCGCTTTAGCAAGTATAATTTTTTTTCTTTTTATCGCAAACAATGCCCGGAACCACTTAAAAAGGTGGTTTTCCACTAGGTGAATTAGCAAACAGTAGAAACAGTTTGAACTCCCAAATTTGTGAAGCACCAAAGGTGAAAAGTGAACCTGGAGAATGGCTTGTTCATGAGACTTAAACTGCGCATGCACACTGTCAAATGCTTTTGGCTTGTGCGAATAAATTCTCCTAGTGCAAAACTGGCTTAAGAGTTTACTTTTGCGCATCAACAATGACACCTATAAGAATGAATACCGGTGTAACCAACGTTGTTGTAGACAAGAACAGTATTTTTAGGCTGCTAATGCTTCGGCAAGATGAATTGTATAATCTGCCTAAAGTGAAAGAAGTCTTTGCAATTTTCCAGTGAATAATCTGTTACATTGACTGCAGGAAGTTATGTACCTGAATATAGATTTGATGAATTTGATCCACATTTTTGATCACATTGTCCTCAAGCGTGCATTCCACAAATCGAAACTTACATTTTCCCAGCTCAAAATTGTACACGAGCTGACAAAAGTAATTGTAAGTCTTCTGGCAGGGCAGTTCTTTTTTTCCATCAAATATTGAATAACAAACAAAAGATAAATTGATGCCAACATTTTTAAATTAATATGAAGTCCGAGTTCAACCAAATCTAGTTTTTCCTATTTTATAAATGAGCTATCTCGCTCCTTATAATTAAGTTTGCACTGTAGTATAATTAAGTCATCAACTATGTCAAAATCTCTATTTAATGAACCATAAACGAATGACATTCATTAAATTTGTGGTAATGAGCTTTACAAAAAAGCATCACATGTAAAATAAGACAAATTAATCAGATATGTGCATTAACCATAGAGCTTATTTTAGAATTATATAATGGTAATTATGTAAGCCTATTCGAAAAGCACACAAGATATAAAACAAGTTCTTGTAATCTTGAAAGCTCGGATGAAGGCAGTAGAATGTGTTGGCCCAAACGGCCGCCCATACAAATTGATCCTATTAATCAATTAATCAGCCGAGTGTTTCTAGAGCTCCTCATAACAGTGAATTTTTTTTAAATAATTAGATAAAATAATTTGTACAAAATTAAAATCTTTAAAATTGGGAAAAAAATTGAGTGTTCTATAGACCCATCGCATGGAAGCGTTGCATGTATGGCACTTTTAAACTGACCGCGCCATCCATGGAATGTGTAAAAAAGTGGTAATAATGGCAGTAATGTTCAGTCCTTGCTGAAACCCACTCAGCCATGAAAAAAAGCACAGCCAATCAGCAAAAAAGCATAGTCAATCAGCAAAAAAGCACACAAATTGCAGGGTTCCCCCTTAGAGCTCCTCATTGGAGCTAAAAAATATTATTAAATATTTTAAAAAATAGAATTGTCTTCCACAATGCTACAAAAACTACAGGTATGTTTAATTTTTTTTTTCAGACAATGGCCAAACCTAGACCCTGACTTTAAGTCCTAAATGGCCTTCCCTAATCCATGTTGTGAATTCACTCAGAAAGTATAGGAGATACCATTAATCATGGGTATAGTCTGGGGTGGGGCAGTGGGTGATGCCGCCTCCTCCCATGGCAGCAAATTATTTCTACTTAGTGAAGTAAAATACTAAAAATGACCATGTAGTTTTCATTGGAACAGGGATTTAGTTCCTCAATTGCTTCCCTCCCCAGTTCCACCTTCTCAGTTTTCGCACCACATACTCCTCCCTCTCCCCCCCCCCCCAACTCCCCTGGTAATCACTAAAATTTGTTTTTCAAAACATCAGAACTGCATGTTTTTTCAGGCCTTCCAATCATAATCCCTTGGTTTTTTTAGCCTTTGGTTTTAATTCTGTCCGTACATTCTTATTGCACTTTAAAGACAAATGATTACATAAGAAAAGTCCAAACATTAATTTTCTAGGGTATCAGATGTAGGTTTCTCTGGTCATCCAATCCTGGTCACAACTTGGTACCTTTGACGGCCCATTGCTCCCACATAGCGGCATCCTAGACTTAGAAATATGTGTTGTTGTGATCTATCGAATTAAATTATATTTCACTGGAGAAATATCAAGGCCTTTGAGGCAAATATAAGTATTTTGACTTGATGCCGATGTCCCATTAGTACTGTATATCCTTTTGATTAGATTTTAAGCCTTTAAATTTTAGGTACCGTAATTATATCCTCCCAATGGAAAAGTAGACTTTCACATTCAGGGAGTTGTAATATTCATCAGTTTGTATATATAGTAAAATGTACTACAGTAATTGTTTCCATAGGACAATTCAGACCTTGAGTTGTGTGAATGTCATATTTCATCACTTTTGTCTCATCATCTGTACATTTGCCTTTATTGATACTTGAAATGTCATAGTACACTTTATGTTTTAATGTGAATGTGTGTTTTATTATTGTATTTAATATACAAATTGAAACCATGTAGTCCACCTGAATACATATTATTGTATTTGTCTTGACCATAATGTTCTATTCGGAAAAATATTTATTATAACGTGCATTCGAATGTACAAATTATGAATTTTTGGACATTCTAATTTTTCATAACTTTTCAAAATGTATGATATCATCACGCTGTTTGCATTGAGCTTTTCTCAAAATCCCTGTTGATCTTACCATGGACCGATTAATTAATAATTAGTAGGTCCATGATCTTACCATGCGGATTAGAAAATTTTACCACTATGAATGTGTGCTGGCTGTACACAGTGTTTTTTGTCCAATTCGAATAGGGCTTTCTAAATGCTTAAACATTTTTATTCTGATGTGAAAGTTTTTTATAACTCTTTAAAGACACAATCGAGGTGAGGTGCATAATGCCAGTTTTGCAAATTTTTTTTTTTTGCAATTTTCTCTAGAACCAAATATATAAAATTGAATACCATTATTCAGATACAATCTACCTGACACCACTCCTGACAACATGAAAGTAAAAAACGCTAACAAAAACAAATTTATTAATCAAATTGTTTTTTATAAACTAAAGAAATAAGGGCATTTTAAAATTGTTATTGTCCATCTTTGTTCTCAGGTGGGAATACGATGACACTTTCTGCGAAGATATCAAGAGGAATTATCCGTTAGAGAGCTCACCTTTGATTCTGGACATGACAGATGCAGCTGTCTTTGACAGTCTAATTGGCAACGCCGACAGGCATATGTACGAGACATTCAAAGAACATGGAGATACTGCTAGAATGCTGCACCTTGACAATGCAAAGAGGTCAGAGTTAGTTTTAAATTTAACATGTTGTTTCTTCTTATTTTTAGCTATAGGGTTGCTACCATTCACGTGATATTGAAGAAAAGAGCAAACGCCTTTCCAAAAGAGATATTGTTTTAAGAAAGCTATACTACTCAAGTAGCAAAAGACTATAAAATCAAAATACTGTATATACGCCTAAGACCCGGATCATGTCTTGAAACACATTTAGAAAGACATTTTTGGGCAATGGCTCATGTGCACTTTAAAGAACCCATTGTATATTTCGTAAGAATAGGGGGTTACCCCGATGGTATGGTTTATTTCAGCCCCTGTCGTGGAATTATGTGAATATGTAGCTCTATGTACAGCAAGTGCCTCATTACAGTGGCTAAGTAGCCACGGCCCACGCCCATACGCAGTTCTGCACAATGACGCTGTGAGTTATGGGTTATTCTCCTACCTTTAACTTTACTTAAATAATTTAGTCAATTTTTAAGCTTCTGCTTTCCTTGCTTTCATTTGTTTTTTTTTTTCTTTTTTTTTTTGTCAATCTTTATAACATCATTCATCCTGCAAAATTTTGCCACGAGTGAAGAATTCCTCCATGTTTAAATGTCTTATTATCCTTATACTATAGTAGTGGATGACCGACATTCCTTGTACCCTTTTCAAGTTGAAGTGCTTTGGGTGGTCTACATGTCCCATCCAGCACAATTTATTGCGAATCAAAATGTTCTCAATATCATCTATATACACTAATAGTCATTGTTATTCCAGCCAAATCTATAATTTTTGTTTAATGTATTCTTGTCATTATATGAAATACTGGGGGTGATATGAATGTAGGGCAGGCTGAGTTATTAAGGAGGAATACATTTTTGCTTGCATTCATCAGGTTGCTATTTAGCCCCCGGCCTGGGTTACATTGTTTCTGGATGCACAAGTTTCTAGGTCTAATTTGTTTAAGGTCATATCTAGCTTCAGGTTCTTTTCTTATGGAGCTATTTGATATATTTCATCTTCAGAGTACACTGTAAACTTTGGTGGTACAATACCTGATCACCATTACAATTGCTTGGAGCCTTTTGCTCATACCTGTAGCTGACATCATTGTAGGGGTTAAGAACAAATTTACGTTTGTCATTTCATTTACTGAGACTCATCAGTTAGGTATTATACTGTATTTCTCAGAAGATGCCGGTAGTCATTGTATTTTGGATAATGGTAACTTAATGGAGACTTACATTGTTATTTTATTTGTGGACTGTAAAGAAGTGTGCTTGCCAAAAAAAAAGGTGAATTAAAGGTGAATTGACAAAATGTCTTATTTTGTTTAGGGCTGTTCATCTTTGTTTGTTATTTCAATTTTAAAGTCAAATTTTATTAAGTTTTGATATTTAAAAAAATAATGTTGAATAGAAAATTCCTATAACCTTTAGGCCCAATAAAAAAATATCAGTTTTAATTACCCTATTCAGGCTAGAAAAATGATGGGGGAGGGAGGCTTTTTATTTTTATTTTGTATTATTAGTATGCTAAAGCCAAATATCACCCTAAGGTTGTTTGCTGGTGCATTGATATTCAAAGTAAATAAACAATATTTACTATATAATAAAAATATGTAAAAAAATGAAAAAAAATAGTTTCAATTTTTTTTTTTCAGTACCATAAAAGACATGTGGATGGGGAGGATAACCTAATCATTTTTCTTATAAGAACTTATACCTGTATATACAATTTAATGTAATTATTAAAAAAAACTGCTATATAAGTATAATTTTTATAAAGAATTATTTGTCTACATTTTGTTTATAAATATTAAAATTAATAAAAATAAATATTCAATCAATAAATAAATATAAATATTAATATATAATAATATAATATGTATATATAATATATATATAATATAATATATAATATTATATATTATATGTAATAATATATAATGATATACTGTATAATATATAATAACACATATATATATATATAATATAAATAAATAAATATAAATATTCAATCCTACTTTTAAAAAAATTAATTAATTTAATTAAATAAGTAATGCTACAAATATTTTTTTTTAAATACAAAAAGAACCAAAATATATATTGATTAGATATGATTATATTCATATTACTAATATTCATAATACTAGATTATGTTCAGTGGTATTCAGAATTGAGAAGAGGTAATTCTCATAAATATGTGTATGCGCCTGACAGCATGTTGTTTAATAGTGAATATGCCATACAGTAGGTACGACACTAGAGAATGATCCATTCCTCATGTACGCGAAGTAGCACACTCGTGACTTTAGAAGTAAATCATCTGTGGTAATTTTAAAGTAACTTAATACAAAGTGCATATTCATGGGCACTTCCCAGGGCTTACGACAAGTAAACTGCTACTTTAAAGGTTCTAGTCGTCTGAATGTGCCTGGTGATTGCTACAGTATTTTCAACTAACAATCCTACTGTATTTAAATTTACGTCCTTTACTTAAAATATATGGATATCTGATACTTCAAAGTTTCAAATTTTTTTCACCCATTGTCATTTGATACAGACGATGTTATGTCAATTCTTATTAGTCTTTGAGTATCAAACAGGCCAATTCATTCAGTATGTTACAAATTGTCAACTATAATGTACTTAAACATCCATTAATTACGGTACTTTTATTGATGATACTTCAGATGCTGTAAAAATTTGCCATTGTCATATGATACTGAGAATTTAGTAGACCCTACAGTATTTCTTCAATTCTTAGTTTGTCACAAAGTAGATAAAACTGAAATATTCCCATGTTTTGAACTTGCTATTACTGTACATCACATACCATTCATAAACATCCATTTAATCTTCAATAATCTTTTACCTACTTCAAACCATCAGAATTGATTCGAATATGTAGCAATTTTTATTTGATTCTGAGAATGTGGTTAATAATAACAATAATAATAATAATAATATTTATTATTATTTTTGGGTCTTCAATCTAATTGTAAATCGAAAATTCGAACTGGGACCCTGGAGACCTGTGGCAGCCACAGCCTCTTGTGCCACCCAACTTGCTACAAAACATAATGGACACATACGGATACAAGCATTGTTCTTTACCCACTGTAACTCTCAATATGAGGGTTTATTCAAGGGGTGTACGGTAAGAATGGCCCCGGAAAAATTGGCCCCGGAAAAAATGGCCCCGGAAATAAAGGCCCCGGAAAAAATGGCCCCGGTAAAAATGGCCCCATATGACAGGTAGGTAAAAATGGCCCCAATAATGGCCATTTTTTCCGGGGCCATTTTTTCCGGGGCCATTCTTACCTACATTCATAAGGAGACCAGCAATCAGACTCCAACTAAAACCAGGTTCTGGTTTGATTTGGAGTCTTCAGCGCAAGAAGCAGGAATAGTAGCTCTCAGCCAACAGCTCAGCTCAGCAATTGTCTGTAAACTAAATAAAACGGAAAAATGGCAATTCAGCTGTTGTTATTACTAATCTAACAGACGGTATTATAGCCTATTGTGCTTAATTGACACATCGTTTCTTCAAATAATGTATACATGATCCTTCTTCAAACTTTCAACATTGATATAAACTGTCATTCATTTTGATATTGGGAGTCACATCCTATTAGTATTAAAAGGTGTAATCCGTTTAGTAACAATTATTTTTTTATTAACTAACATACGCTTTGCACCTGTTAATGTAAGCTTACAGGTTCATATTAAAATAATCATTTGAAACACTCTGGGTTCGTGAATTACTAATTTTGTCAGATTCATTTCAACATGAACTACCATTATTGAAATCATCTCTCAACATAAATTATTTAGTTTACTTGCTGTTGAATGTTTTTTTTCCCACATCAGTTGGTATTATTTTCGGAGACATTTCATTAAAACCGTAGCCTTGTCTTGTCAACTAAAGTATTGCACGAATCATCGCAGGTGGCCATCATACAGCTTAAACAAATCAAGCTTAATGCTGTGTCTTTAATTATTTTTTTTACTAGTTAGCTGGTTCCATCAGGTTTGTTCTAAAAAGAAATTCTGTAGCTAGCTTTATGATATTAATAATTAATTTCATGTGTTCTTATATATATATATA